CGCCGGTCTTGCCTGCTGCGAGTGCATGGAGATTTGCTGTTAAACAGTTCACGACTTGACGGCTTCTATCTGATTTGATCTACTATACGTGACCACCGATACCGACGTGCGCATACTGAGAATATGATGAGGTTGCTGGGATCATGATCAGATGCAATGTGACTGTCGGGCTTCTTTATGCATTTTTTTTGTTGCCTTTTTACACCGCTTTTCCGGATTTACACTATACCCAGAACAATGCCAGTTATGGAGTTCAACTTTCTAATTTATTCTTGGCATTCAAAAATGCTTTGATCAATGCTGCGGCGTGATATAGTTGCAGGTTATACGCTGTTCTCCATACGCCTTTGCTAGCTGAAGGGGCGTCGGTATATGGCGGCTCGCAATGCAGCGTCAACATCCCATACTCGGAAGCCTGGAGCGCGACCAAGGATTCGTAGGTTGGCCAGGAGGACTGCTGATGTGTGAGTATATGTTGACGAAAGGAAAAGAATATAGACGGTGACTCACGATCAAAGAAACACTCCATGTCCAGCATGTAAGGAGACGGGCTTGACACTGATGTGGCCCGGTCAACTGGAACCTCTTCGGGAGAAGTGTATAAACTCGACACAGACCGATCTGGCGAGAACCCATGCAAATGCCCAACCAGAGCAGCGGGTACTTCTAACCTCAGCGCTGATCCATCAAGCGCAACACCCCGGTGCTCCAGATAACCCTGTATATCATGACAATCAAACCACTCACCATCCAGATCCAACGAACGGATCCTCTCTTCCCGATCCATCTCCACCTTCCCGTGGCCCAGTCCTGCAACCCCGGGCTCCCGGTCCCCACTCCAATCCTCATCCCAATCCTGAATCCCACCACGCTGCAGAATCCTCACCATCCTCCGCAGAATCTTGCCAGGTCTTCGACTATTCTCCGGGTAAATTGGCATTCCATTCCTCCCCTTCCGGGGGAAATGCTTTCCTGCTCCGCCGAGCGTGTAGAAAGGGAGCTTGTTAGACTCCAGCGTACTTCCAATCTCGGACTGCAGCATACGCCGGAAACTGCGTCTTATGCCCGGCATGTCTTGGATGCAAGGTACCAGTCCGAAGACGCGACCCAATAGTACTGGGTCGGTGCGAGCATCTGTAAGCCAGCGGTAGATATGCTCGAGACAGAACCTGTGCAGGCGTCGCGAGAGGTTGGATTCTTGGTTGCTGTATGTGTATATTGTTGTTATCGGGAGGATACGGTTAATCAGTGGAGAGGGAGATCTGGCGCGGTTGGAGTATGAAGGGTAGTCCTTCTTTTGAAGATGTGCCTCCGTGTTGTTCGACGCATATGAGACTTGGTATCCGAAGATATCACTCGAAGATTTCCGTGTTTGCTGAATCTTTTCATCTTCATCTGGGGTAGAAGGGGCGTTTTGGATTTCTGCTAGAACCAACTCCCGTGCGCGAGCCAGATAGTCGATACCCGCCTGTGTTGTGAGTGCGCCGTCCTGGTGACTAGCTGCATCTTGATGGGCCGCGCTGAGTAGATCAGACACATTCTCCAAGGTCCGTTCTAGTCCATCGACGCGAGATTTGAGAGACTGGATAGTTGACTCCTTTTTTAGTCGGTAAGTGCGCTGGGCACGCCGGATCTGTAGACGACGTTCCTGCTGGAGTCAGCGAGGTGGACCTTTAAAGAGATTATATCGCAACCTACTTCAATGGCAGCCGCATCCTTGACCGTCTCCAGTCTTGGCCGACCTCGTTTCCGAGCGGGACGGTCCGGAGCTGCGGACTCCCTGTTGATGGCTAGTTGATCGGCCATCTCCGGTGCTTTAGGGGCTCGCTTGTTCCGCGGCCTTAGAATGCGCTCGGGTTCATGTTTAATTTCGGGGCCTAGTTCCCGTCTGGGGAGATCCTGTGGCCGCTCAGGGGACAAGTCCAGGTAGGATCTCGATGAGAGCATGTCTGATAGCATGTCCGAGGAATTCTCATGTTTCTGCATCGGATTGAGCTGAGATGGTCAGAGTTAGAAAGTTGACAAGTAATCAAAGAACTCCTCATCTTGTGATTTTTTTGATCACTCATCACCTCGGCAGTGGCCAAGCCGCAACTACACTAATGCAAACATCGACAGGGGTGGCCTGCATGACATATCAACGCCCATGACTTCATCTATACTTCTTTGCAGAGTAACTGTAAAGTTATCCTGATTTGTGCACAATGTACGGAGTACATGCAGTTTGTGAATTCCGAATCCCGCTTCGTGTTCTTACACCACACAGACCTCCCCTTGAGTGCGACCGAGGCCAAAGGGCGTAAACCCATTGACTGTGGCACGAACATCAAGATTATTTTGTGGGTACGAACTACAGATCTTTGTGGATACAAAGACTTGCAACCTGGCGGTGTCTCCGAAGGTGAAACCTGTGGATTCCGAGATCTTTTCTGTCTTAGACTCACCAAGTAAGGGGTCCGAGATCTATCGATCGGCCCAGTGACAGAAATCAGTGCGAACTCCGACCGCTCATCGACTATGACCTCCGTTGTGCATTTCATTGGCTCCCGACATTGACGATCTTGACTGAATCTTACTGTGTTCCGGATGTGTCCCCACTCTGCCTGTAATGCTGCATTCATCCATATAACCCACCTCTTGCCCTCGCAAAACCTCGGGTCTCTCCTTGAACAAAATCACACACCAATATGGCCCTGACGTTCATCGTGGGTTTTGCGGCCGCGGCCATCGTGCTGCAGGTTATCCGCATGGTGATCAACTCATGGCAACACTCGCGCAATGCCAAAAAGCTGGGCTGTGGCAGTCTGCCCGTGTATCCTTGCAAGGATCCTATTGGAATCGACACTCTGAAACAGTCTCTGGCAGCAGCTAAGGAAAACACCGTGCCAGATTTGGCTGAGAAGCGCTTTGAAGTTATGGCCGAGCAGGAGAACCGCTTCGTCACTACCTTTATGCTCCGCAATCTCGGTCGTGATGGCATTTTAACTATCGACCCGAAAAATATTCAGGCCGTGCTAGCAACACAATTCAAGGAGTTCGAACTCGGTGATTCTCGTCGGAGAGCCTTGCACCCTTTGCTCGGCACTGGTATTGTAAGTCACATGATAACTTTCTCCCGCTCGGTGTGGGTACTAACCGAATGTAGTTCACTGCCGATGGTGAGGATTGGTCTCGGTCCCGAGGTCTGCTACGACCTCAGTTCACCCGGGAGCAAATCAGTCAGTTGGATTTGGAGGAAGAACATGTGCAAAAGGCCATGCAGGCGCTGCCTGTCGCAGCCAACGGCTGGACCGCTCCCACCGACATTCAGACTATCTTCTTCCGCCTCACTATCGATTCTGCCACAGAGTTCCTGTTCGGTGAAAGTGTAGAGAGCCAACTTGGTGCCCTGAACGGTTTGAACAGACCCGAGGATTCTTTCGCTGGCCACTTTGACTACTCGCAATTCATCTGCGCGCAGCGCGGCCGCTTTGAGAAACTTCCCTTCCTCGCTGAGACCAAACAAAGCAAGATTTCAGACAAGCAAGTCCAAGCCTTTGTTGACAAGGTTGTTGCAACCGCGCTGCAAGCTGCCGACAATGAAAAGAAGGACACCGAAAAGGGAAAGACCCCCTATGTGTTCCTCGACGCCCTTCTGGAAGTAACCCGGGACCCAATCGAGCTGCGCTCCCAACTTCTGAACATCCTCCTGGCTGGCCGCGATACTACTGCCTCCCTCCTCAGCTGGACCACCCTCCTACTTGCCCGCAACCCCGAAGTTTTCACCAAGCTTCGCGAAACCATCATCTCTACGTTCGGCACCTACTCTAACCCGCAAAACGTTACATTTGCAGCCCTCAAGTCTTGCCAGTACCTGCAGTATGTCATGAACGAGGTCCTCCGTCTCTACCCTGTCGTTCCATTCAACCGCCGCAGTGCCACCCGCGATACTACCATCCCTCGCGGTGGTGGTCCTGACGGTCAAGACCCCGTCTACGTTCGCAAGGGCCAGTCCGTTATCTACACCACCCATGTCATGCAACGCCGTAAGGATCTTTGGGGCCCCGATGCCCGCGAATTCAAGCCTGATCGCTGGGCCAACCGCAAGGCCGGCTGGGAATACATCCCCTTCAACGGGGGTCCTCGTATCTGCATTGGTCAACAATTTGCTCTCACCGAAGCTGGCTATGTCATTGTTCGACTTTTGCAGCGCTTCGATAAGATCGAGGATGTGAACCCTGACCAGCAGATTCGTTACGGCTTGACTTTGACCAGCTCGCCTGCTGACCTGGTCACTGTCCGCATGCACGAGGCGGCTGAATAAATGCTCCGGCAATGCCGTTTTCCTTTTCTTTTTGTTTGATGGAAACCATTTGAGTCGTTTATATCCCCTTCCTCCTATGGTCCCTAGCCAACTTGACTGGGTCACTTGGACGTGCGCAGTATATGTATCCAGCGTATTTATTTGCATCGGTCTGTTTTAGACCATAACTTACGGCTTGGGGCACGTTGCCCATTATGATAACAAGAATGATACATTTGTTATGGAATCAGACACATGTACTTTGCTTCCATGCCACCATATCGTCCGGCTAATTGGAAATCTCATCTATCTAAAAGAAACAACAACTGCCGTCGATTTATTAGCATAATAGCACATCGACGTAAACTCAATTATAATGCTACAAAAGGGGTCGTAAATGTGTATACAGTACCATAAAGTAATGGACAGTCCCGACACGATAGCCTCGAAGCAAGTGTACTGTTTCGGTGTTCCCCTGGGGGCTTTGGCCTCCCATTTTTCACAACTTTTTACCCATTTTAGAGAGCGTCGGGTTGTAGTAATTTGAAATGGTAGGTTGGTCATGTCGACTACATAAAGGTAGAGGTGTGAAAGGACTTACGGCCCATGACTGTTGACGACAGAGATTTGTGTAAAGACATTTATGCGTGTAGTAACAGTACAGTATAAGGCCCTAAAGCATTGTAGAAAAGTACATGAATACCGACAGTCACCTCGATCAACACCTCCTTTAGTGCTACACTCCCAATTTTTGAAGCTGTGTGCACGAACCATACTCGTAAAGCATCTGCCCAACCACAACGAAATGACCGATTGCCGGAGTGGTTATCACGCACAAAAGTAGAATCAGAAGGAAAAAGAGACCAAAATCCAAATAGAAATACTTCTCTTCTCGCGGGTCGGCCAAGTTCAGTCCACGAAGTTTTGCCAGAGCAGGATTATCGATGGTGGTGTGAATGATCCAGTCCGCGAACATTGGGTTGGTGACATTAACCATTCTCAAGACGATGGATCCCAAGATCCAAATCCTTTGGGCCACAGTGCTTGAGCCAGCCTTAAAATGCGAGAGTACACCGATAGCTATCAGGGGCAAAGATGAAATGAACATGGCCGCAGGAGAGATCATGGGTGGAAGCGATCTTGTGAAGCTGACTTTGAAGTTGTAACAGGTTGGACAGACGATGATGAGTCGAGATTTGGCTTCTTCATCCTTCGATGAAAGTGATTCGTTCGATGATGGGGCGACAGCGTCAGAAATACCATTGTCGGTTGCGCGTATTGGATAGGAAAAATTCCTAGGTCTCCCTTCCATTGGACCGTCCGGTTCGATTTCGCCAGGGCGATACAACTTTCCCACTTCAAACTCCCACAGGTACCCTTGGCGACGTTGGCATAAGCCCGAGAAAACGAACTTGTTGTTTACTGAAAGTGGCTCGCTTTTGAGGGTTGCAACAGCGCCAGCGAAAATACCTCCGCGGTGACTTGCTTCATCCATCAGTTCGGTATGAACAAGGTAGATTGATGGGTAACTGTGAGTGACCATATTGCCGAGCAGGTTGACGGTTGACATGATTAAATACGGTATAACAGTAAATCCAAATGCAGCGTACCCATATGTGTCCACTTGATTACCACGAGACTGGTATATAGTGACCGAGGCATAAACTATTTGAATTAGTGCAATCAACGGCGGCCCAAAGCTATATATCGACGATAGATTTTGTGGATCTTGGCCATTGAAGCGAAGTCGTTCTGCGATTGAGAGAGGCTCTACGACGGCGGTCGATGGAACATAAGCCAATTCGTAACCAGGAGGAAGGTCACAAGTTCCGGAGATTGTGTAGCGTGGGGGCACGACATGGAATGGGGTACCTTCCTGTACAAGCCAGGGAGGGATGCAGACATTGAATTCAAACAAGCCGGTATATGCCTCCCTGGAAGACCAATGTGAGCAGAAATACTAGTTTAAAATGACTGCTTCAGCTCACAGCTTCCTGATATCTTCCTCAAAGTTGTCTTTATTCCGGGCTATTCAATCTTAGCAGGAAACTCTCGTGAATAAAATGACCAAAACATACCAATTTTCGCATATGGGAATGGGTCGAGTTCGTTCACATTGGATGACATAGGCATTATCGATAATGAGCGCACAGACTGCGAAGGTATTGGATTCCATTCTCGAGATCGCACCACCATGCATAATGCTCTAGATTGAAGCGCCCGCTTGAGTGGATCTTTGTGTAGAGCTCCCCTCCGAATGATGGCCAGCACTCCCCGACTAGCGCCCATGCACGGGAAAAGAATGGCTAAGATCATGTTCACTGTGGTGATGACCGCTGGCTCTCCAGGAAAATTGATGACTGTCGCCGCGTGGGCTACGTAGTTGCCCAGGAAAAAGGACACGATATCAGTCCATGAGGTTGGTGTACAAATAACGTTATTGGAATAAGTTACACCATCTGGGACAATGATGGTATTGTTCCGTTTTGGAAGAACTGCCGCTAATGATTCACTGACTAGGGCGAAAGAAAAAGGTGACATGAGCCCAATTTGAGTCATGATGGTCATCACAGATGTCGAAGCCACTTCCGGTGATCCTCAATTAAACCCAAATTTGTTGTTTTTGCAACCTTTTGACAAGAAGATGCATAATAATATGACGTGGGCTGCTTTGAAGAGGGCAAGAGGAATATTAGAGTGTTATTTGGCTAGATGCTTTGGGAGCCTGACGATTGGAACTAATAACAGTGAGCTGTAAGCCCTAATTATTCGATACTTGCGCGTTCTATTTTAAGTATCCTACTTATGTACCTGGGCAAAAGAGGCACGCGATTTGGTCGAGACTAAGCGCCGCTAAACCGCAGGGGTTCTTGCGCATAGCCCAACGACGATCCCTTCAAATATATATCAATCATTTCTAGTCCCCCACAGCTTAGACAGCTTCTTTTACTGAAAGTATCCTACAATCAATACCGTCATCCACCATCCCACATCGTACATCAAAGGAGTTATTTTCAATCGGACGATACGAAAGAGGCAGTCGGATACCCTTATTTCAATGCAAGCCTTCTGAGATTGCAGTCCGCGTAAGCCTCCATCTTGCGGATCTGAGCCTCGAATTTGATGTGCTTCCAATAAGTCTCTTTTTGAAACGTGCCCTTCCTGCATACTAGAAAACTGCGAGTTACGCGCCCGGGGTCGGCACTACCTATGCACGTGTGGGGCAACTGAAGTAGCGGGCCAATGGCAAGTCTTATATTGCCCAATTGTATGAGGTTGGGGGCCATGATCTTTTTGTGTCGTCATTTGTGAGTACATATGTCAGGACAATCTACCTACGGGCTCAGGAATCAGGTCCTTGTATCTCATACTTGGTTCTCCGTGTAGAGAATCCCCTATCATCTCTCGCTCTGATCTCGTCCTATCAGCGTCGCTTTGACAGCGGCATTGCTAGCACTTATACTTATGGCGCCCCATGCGGAGCCATCTCCACCTTCCTTTTCCCTCTGATATCTGCGCCCTTCTCCTGAAGTAGCGAGACGACGGCCTACTGTTCCTGAGGGTTAACCCACGATGGCACCTCCTCTGTAGCCAAAAGATGGCGGCATGCGGCCATGATCATCTTTCGATTCGAAATCAGCATTCTTCTCAAGAAGTAGCCGAACGACAGCCTTGTGTCCATATGCTGCAGCCCACGATAGCGGCGTACGGCTATCCTTATCGCTTGACTCGATATAAGCGCTTTTCTCAAGAAGTAACGTCTGTTCGATAGGGTTTCCCTTTACTTCGTCGCCCAGGCGAATATCATACTTCTGACTTGGTGCATCACCGCCGATGCCAACCATGAGGCCTATTGTCACATTGGGAAAGCTACTCAGAATGTTTGTTGGTACGTTTGCGGCGGAAGCTGTCCCATATTCACCATCAGGCAAGACGGCGACAACAACATTATGCTCCCCAATTCTGCCTGGTGCATAGTCGTTGGTATCCTGCTGGGATACAAAACCTGCGGATCATGCTCTTCATCGAGGAATTCTTGTGCGGCAACATATTCCACACGTAACGAGCAGATCCATTTTACGGTACAGTTCGAAGGGTCTGACATGCTGATTTGAAGAGGATCGAGAAAAAGGAACAGAAAGCCAACAGGGAACTCACGTATCAGTTTGCAGGGGCTGCCATCTATAGTATTAGGAATATACACGTGTCTATGGGTTATTTGAACCATTTTGTGCGTTTTCCATAAGCGCTCAGCCTCGCATGCTCTTACATGTTATTGGATGGTCATTTTCTGGAACATACGTATGTCTTTGTAACGCGCAAATGGTAAAAATATTTGGGGACAGACGTATGAAGTGTGTGTAGACAGTACAAAACCGGGCAATTATTCGTTTCTGTTCTTGGACTAGCTTAGGTGTGCCATCAGCTTGACTTCGCATAATTTTACCCCAAATCCGCGGACGATCAAGTATTCTTTGCTTTTTCTCTCTAGGGGAGAGGGGCATCAAATCACGTTGACTCAAGTAACTGACACATTATGGCAAGTATAAGGTATCTTTTTTCTGAAGATGCAGTGAAAAGTTGAAAAGACAGAATATCTGCTATAGTGGAGTGGCGAGTTGAGTGAAATGTCGGGGGCTTGGATGTAGGGGCAAATCTTTTGTGTTTCGCACTCTAATTTTCAATGGAACTCTAATGTTCTATCTCTTGTCTACTTTTTGCCTCTTCGCAGTATGCTGGTGGCACCACTACTGCTAAGAGTGCAGACAGTGCAGGTATCCAGGAACTTGCTGTAGCCGCACTTCCGTGTGGATCCACTGTAGCTTTCTGAGATTTGTTATAATCAATCATCAATTTATTTAGTGATCGGGATTCAAGATCCAATCTTATGAAGTTCAGGCCCTCAAACTATTGAATGCCGAGCTGTCAATAACACAGTTGACATGACCGTGAGACTCATCAAAATTATACGTTAAGCCCCATTGGACTAGATAAAACAGTTGAGCCTAGGTGCATGTTTATCTGCAGATTTTTTCAGGCTGGAGAGCCCCTGATTCCCCCTTACTGGGGCGTCTCCAGGATCGATCTATCAGGTTATAGTTCCAACATAGTGCCCCACCGATCTACCGCATGCGTGACGTTCATGAACTACAGTATAACCCTAGCGATCATTATGGAGAATTGTGGGTTTTTATTTGGTTGTTTTTGACAGGTTTATTTTTGGGAATATTCCATGCAGATCCTGTCTTTTACCTGTGTGTCTCAGCCGAACTGATTACTACATATAGCTAAGATGAACGTTCGAGTTGTCAGGATCAAGCATTGGAGCTCCTTCTATTCTGAAATATTATTCTCTGTAATATACGGGCCTTGACGGCCTAAGAGAGAATGGTCGGATCGCTATAATCTGACAAAAGGGGTTATCAGTCCCACATGACTACTCCGGGTGGGTCCGAAGCATTTCAATAGACAAGCTGGAGCATACAAAACATGTCCACACCCGCGTAGCTTTCTAGCTTTCACTCATTAAATTTTTTGTTTCTATACCAGCACCATGCAAGTTGACCTGTCACCCCAAAATCATCATCAAGAGCAAGGCTTGTATCCAAGCGTTTTCCCTCCGCTGCCGAATGAACCTTACGATGCGTGCAGAACCGAAAAGCACAGTTCAGTGATCCGAATCAAAACAGCAGAAGAGACTGCAAACATATCTTCTATTCTGCAGCTTGCTTGGGCAATTGTAATTGCGGCTTACACAGACTCGAACGATGTCGTCTTCGGTTTCTGTGGCGGGAAACCAACAGGCTCGTCCAACCCGGTCTCTGCTGCTCACCTGAATATCCAACCAGAGCAGACAGTAGGAAAAGTACTGAAATCACTGAATACACAAGACGATGCTATGTCTCCACTTTCTGGATCAGATCTGCCAGCATCTTCTGTGTTTCCAAATATCTTGGTCGTAAAGAATGACATTGAAGATTGGACAAGCACCAGCCCACCGATGGTATTAACCGGTGGTCATTTCGATACTTGTCCTTTTTTGTTGACGGGTGTGGACCAACAGACAGAGGTTCATGTGCATTTCCACTTTGACCCAGAGATCCTTTCATCAACACTGTCGCAGATAGTGATGGATCAATTGGTCCATGTTGTGAATTGCATCCAGACCAATCCGGAGGTGCAACTAAAAGATCTTCTTGATATGTCTCCCGATGGACTGCAGCAAACCCAAACTTGGAACTCTCGTCTCCAGCTGCGCAGACAGGAACTGGGCGTACATAATGTGATTACAAACAGCGAGGAAAACACAAACACCCAGCCTGTATGCGATTGGGACGGAAAGTCAGACCAGTCGCAACTATCGGCAGCAGCATGGACAGAACGCAATGAAGAGAACGCTTCAAAAGGGGAGGGCACTCCTCTTACAAGTCGAAGTTCATCAATTTCTCCTTCTGAGACGAACTTCAAGCAAGACTTCGCCGTGCTAGCTCCCGAGACCATGTCAGAGACTTTTCCATGCACCCAGACACAACAATGGTTACTCAACAACCACGAAGGAGGTTGCTTCGTGCTCAGCTTCTCGGGGCTCTTGGACCATTTCAAGCTCGAATCTGCCTGTCGACTTCTCATGGAATCTCACACTGCACTCCGGTCTGTTTTTACACGTGTCGACGGAGCATTGGTACAAACTGTACTGAAACAAGTCGATCTCCCCTTCACCGTACACTCCGATGCGTCTCAAGATCCGATATCAATTGCACGAAATTTGTGCGCAGTCAATCCCGAGAACACCTTCCCTTTGGCTACTCTTCCTCTGTGCTTCACTCTCATCACTAAATCTAGAGATCAGCATGCTCTGATGATTCAACTGTCACACGCCCAATATGACAGCGTCTGTCAAGAGACTCTCGTTTCCGATCTGTGCCAGTTCTACCGAGACCCAACAACCCCTATCAACGCAACGAACTATGCTCTATTCGCGCACGAAGTCAGCAAGCAACAAACTCCAGAGGCATTTGATTTCTGGAGCAATCTTCTTTTAGGCTCAAGCATCACCGAGATACCGAACACCGCGCCGCAGATGCAGTCGAAGAACACCATCTTGCGATGCTCGACTAAGGTCACAATTCAATCCTTGCCCAGTGGTATCACCATGGCGAGCATGGTCAAAGCCGCCTGGTCAAATGTTCTCCGGCAAGAGACAGGGGACGATGATATTGTCTTCGCCCAGCTTGTCAATCTGCGCAGTATGGACGTGCCAGATGTACATCGTACTGTTGGTCTGTGCTCTAACCGAGTGCCTGTTCGAGTGCAGTATGGGCGATGCAAAACAGCGCTAGACCTCCTCCACGCTGTTGAGGATCAACACACGCAGACCATTCCCTTCAAAGCTGCCGAATGGGAGAACATTGTAACCTACAGTACTGACTGGGCCGCCGGATCTAAACCCCAGAGTCTAGTCATACATCAGGACCTTCTTCCTAAGACTGATGTACAGATGGAAGATAATCTGCGCTGTCAATTCGCTGATTGTATCCATATTGAACCCACGGATGATTTTTTGAAGCTTTATTCGGAGGAACTGCGGGGCGGGATGCTTAAGTTGACATTAGCATATTCCAGCCATTTTGTGCCGAAAAGTGGGATCAACGGCTTGTTGGGGAAGCTTCGCAACACTTTGATGCATTTCACTGATGCCCCAGAAAGTGTGTTGGATTTATGAGCCAACAACCCTTCTTTCTTTCCTTTACTTGTACGGGTTCGCCTACCTGAGCGTCAATTTCTGTAAATATATCCAACAAGACATCCTGAGCTGTCCTTCGCAGGGATCTTCGGCTCGGCCTCTACAAATAATAATACAGTCATAGGTCACGAGTCTTCACAGCCCCCACCTTTATATTTCAACGGCATCATGCTGTGCATTATTCAAGTTTAAGACAAACTAAATTCTGTTCTGTTTTACAGAGCGTTTCCTTATCACTAAACACGTCGAATGAGCGAAATTTGGCCTTGAAATCTGAAGATTAAATTGCCCAGTGTAAACTCCCCTAACTTAGATAGCTGGTTGTTTGAGGTCATTCCTCGTGGCTACAGAGTTGGTTGGTAAAGGTGTTTGAGATTATTTCCGATTATTCATTCTGATGTTTGCAGGCATATTGAATATAATCACAACTTTTCCGATCGTATACGCTAATAGCACTGTATATAAAGTGCTATCCAAATCACCCATCACAATTCGGTTAAAGCGGGGGCTTCTTTTGCTGCAGGGCCAGAGTATTTGGTCTGCACGAAGACCTTTTGAATCCCACCCTCTCGCTTGTCGAACATTTCATATACATTCGCCATATCCTCAAGACGGAACCTATGGGACACCATAACGAGCGGATTAATCTCGTTCGTCTGTATAAGATGCATGAGGTGTTTCCAGTACTTCTGTACGGGTGCCTGGCCGTTGCCCATAAGATGAACACCAGTCTGCATCAAAGCGCCAATATTGAAATGATTAGTCTGCCAATTATACCTGTTAGTTCTGCTAAGCACCTAATCAAGCACAACTCACGTATCCAGCATAGACCCCCGTCACGCCCACCCGTCCAAATGGGCGAACAGCAGTAATCATCTCGTTCAGCAGCTCGGAAGTGTCTGTCTCCATTCCAAGCATCTGCTCGAAGTAATGCACCCATCCTTTCGCATACTCTCCCGCAGCACACTCAAGAGCGACATCAGGGCCTCCGGTGACCATCTTCTTCAGCTGCGACGTTACCGACTCGCCCCTGGGTAGATCGGTAAAGTTGATTGTCTCGAGCTTCGGCAATTTTTGCTTGACAAAATCCAACCGCCATGCAGCATTACCTCCATCAATCAGAATGACACGGCTGGCTCCATGATAGAAGCTGAAATGCGCACACATCTGTCCGATTGGCCCACCGCCCCAGATAGCAACAACATCACCCTTTTCGACTCCAGTATCGACCACACAGTGCCAAGATGTTGCTATGACATCCGACACATAGAGCGCTTTCTCATCTGGAACATCGTCCGGGATAGGAAGCAAATTGACATCCCCATATGGAACTCGAAGGTACTCAGCCTGGCCACCAGCAAAGCCACCGGTGAAATGAGAATATCCAAATATGCCTGTCTTTGATTTAGTACCAGTATCAGTCCGTGGTATTAGTCGTTTTAGTCTGCTTACCAGCAGTTCGCTTGCCATACATGGCATTCGTGAGGGTGTTCTGATTAGTCTCGCTGCACTGGGAGAAGAACTCCCTCTGGCAGTTCCTGCACTTTCCGCAGGCAATAGGAAAGGAAACGACCACCCGTTGCCCTTGTTTGATCTTTTTGGGCCCTGGGCCTACACTTTCCACCACTCCACAGCATTCATGACCGAGCACATCGCCCTTCTGAAGTTGCGGGATGACGCCTAAAAGCAATGCAATTTAGCACAGTGACTCACTGGTGGGAAGTTTACCATACCATGATATAGGTGGAGGTCGCTTCCGCAGATAGTGCTTCCTGTCACCCGGACAATCACATCATCCTGGTCGATGACTCTTGGCTTGGGCATTTCCACTGGGTTTGTTAGTAGAACAGAATGTCTTCAAGATCAATGTATCACTAACCAACTTTCACTTGGTTCTTGCCTTGCCAGGTACTTGCCTGGATCCTCTCACCACTCTCCTCTCCAAACTCGTTGTCATATTTGCTCACATCAGTGGTTATGTTCGCATCATCTCCATGACCGACAATCTTTTCCACGATATTCGCTCCTTGAGATACAGCCATTACGGATCGCTTGGGGGCACAGTTTTATTTGTGAGCGACGATGTATGTGTCTCAATTCAACGGGATTCGAAGAATATAACTATCATGATCAATTACCTCATTGCTTGGTTTCTAATCATGCTTCTCTTCGCGCTGACATCATAATGAGCAACGGGGCGAGTAACCCCCAAGCAGGGTATGAGAGAATACGTGAAAGGACGGGGAATTAGTCATGACGTTGCATTCGGCATAATTTAATTTTGAGCTTATGTTCGTTTATTGGATCTTGGCTACGGCTACCTCCTTCATGTTATGGCTCTGTCTGTTTACTTAATTGAACTATAGCTCGAGCTTTAACATGATTAATGAGTAAGGTTTTCGTTGCACATTTATTTTAAAACCATGCTCAGACTATTGACTCCATAGCTATCACTGTCTAGGCTGAGGTCGGAGAGTTATATTTCGCACGGTCCGGATGTCTTCTTTGCCACGCAAACCACAACAAATTACCTAAAAAGATATCCCATCAATTGCCAAAAAAAATTATCTGAAAATATGGCAAAACAATCAATCAAATTGGGACGAGCCGGAGTCGAACCGGCGATCTCGCCGTGAGGAGTACCTAGCAAGAATTGTTGGGGCTACTACATACGAGCGGCGCGCCTTAACCACTTGGCCACCGTCCCAGGGAATAGCACAAACATTCTCACCTGAATCGCGATCAGGCAGCAGAGCTTCATCGAGCATGATAATCGAAACAAATCAATTGCATAATGTACAAGGTAGCCTGGGACTACATGGTGATGCCATCTACTGATCCAAACAGACATCTAGATCTATCTACTTACGCTACCCGTCTCCTTCCACGGATAGCTCACGCCGTCATCCTTGCGTGTCCAGATCTTCGTCTTTCTCTTGTTAACGACATGCTCGACGAATACCTCACGCGTATACTGCGCCTTGAACTTGCGGATCCAGCGCGGGTCCCAGAGTTCGCTTGCAATACCGAGGTCCTTGCAGCAGCGCACGAGTGCGTTAGAGCGGCAGCCTTCTGTTGCGGTTGGGATGCCGTCGGGGGAAAAGTAGTCTTGTTCGCCGCGGGCGACGGATACCAGGCTGGAAAACATGGTCAGCTCTGTATTCGAATGTAGCCACGCATCGGAGCAATGCATGGTTGATTGGACGTGGGAATGGGGAAACAAGAAGAAATTCTTACCGTCCGTTACAAACGAGAGCATACTCCCTCGTCACAGTCTTAGGCGTAACGATACTCTCACTGCGGGGCACAAGACCCCAGCCACCTGGGCCAAAAGCGCGGTTCAAGATCCGACGGTACTTGATCTCGGGCAGATACAGAATACCATCGGGCTTGATCTCGACCTCTTGGGGGTCGGTCTCGGCCAACAGGATATCGGCTGCTTCCTTGGGGAACGGAGCAGCAGAGAGACCGTGGAAAGATCGTGTCCAATCAATCTTCTCTTCGGGGGCAGTCTCCAGCAGGAGGGGTTTGTCGGCTAGGCCGCTTTGGGAGATGTTTTCTGTTGTTGGGCGGTTTGGGGTTGGGGCCGATACGCGGGTCGTGGAGCTTGTTGGTGCGGGATAGGAGGGCTTCTGGGCTGGGGTCGTGGTAGATGGCTTGGAGGAGGGGACAGTGGGCTTTTCGTTCTGTTTTTGGGAGTTGCTGTAGCTGATTGCTCTTTTGGTCATTGGGTTGGAGAGCTGTCTGAGTCGGAGGTGGGTGACTCCTCGAGAGCCGGAGACTGGTATGGCATTTTGAAGGGACTCGATTGCCCGCCAGGTGCGGATGCGCAAAGCTGAAGACATGGTGGGTTGATTTGTTGAAGCTGGAGAGATGAGCTGAGAGGTCAGCCTTGAGAACGATCACGTGATATCAGTTTAAATCGGACATTTCCTAAAGCTTGAATTTCGAGGCATAAAGGTAATTATGTCAGTGGAGTTAATTGGAGAGACTAGTTGAACAAGTTTTAATGGCTGTATAAAGTACATCATGCATTAAGCATCTTTGGTCTGTGTTCGCTGGTCATTGCCCTGACGTTTCCAGCATTCACGGAACGCTTCCATCTGTATATTGCAGTCAATATATGTCCAAGAGAATTGGATTATGGCCGTGCTTGGGGTCATCGAAGCTGGGTTGCTTGTTGAGAGCATTGAAGGGTGTAGATAGCTTCCAATAACTTCCAGCATGATATCAGACCATAAGGGTTCACCTCACCTCGTTTTTACATTCGCGCCAGTCCTTCTTGGCAAAGTAGCAGTCATTCATCTTGTCTTGCTCGGCTGCTTTGCGTCAGAATTGCATTCCAATGGACATCGAGTTAACTCACTGTGGCAGCCAGTGCTGAAGATGCGCTTATCCCTGTGCCCATAGTTAGCGCTCCGAACAAAGACAATTACAGACCAGCTAACCAATCATCCGGCTCATCATCATCCTCCGGGACAACAGTAGTCTTTTCCGCGTTGTTCGACATGACCGTGGTTAGGAAAACGGCGAGATCAGGCGGTTGGCATCGGAACTACGGAGGGCGATCTTATCGATGACTGATTTCCTCCCCAACAACAATGTCCACGCCAACAGGCAACAATGCCAATTTCACTGGCAAAAGACTCAATGTGCTAGTCTACTCCGGTTCGCTCACCTACTCCGCATGGCAACTCAGCCGTTTTCTGACCGACGACTTTTCGACAGGAAACGGAACCACTGTTGACTCAGTCCGCCATTGCCTCTACACCCTCCGCCGCCTCCTCGCTCCCCACTATGCCGTGATCCCCGTGACGGCGGACATGCTCCTGAAAGAGCCATGGATGGCCACCTGTGCGCTGCTGGTATTCCCCGGCGGTGCGGATCTGGGATACTGTCGCACGTTCAATGGCGCGGGGAACCGGCGCATTGCGCAATTCGTCCGCAACGGCGGCAGATACTTGGGTCTGTGTGCTGGG